GCCCCAATCTCGCAGCTGAATCAACTTTAGGAGACAGTCCTAGCACTTGCTGGACTTTCTTGGGCACCCTGAAGCCTTCTTTACAACAGTTGAACCTCTCTTCTTGAAGTTCTTGGTGATCCGAAAAATAGTTGATTTAGCTGCAATCCTGGTAGCAGTATTATCCTTGCCTGTGAATTCCTTTTTGTGCAAAGCAATGATGACTGCACGTGTTTCCTTGCAGGTAAATTAATATTTGTGACATTCTCAAAACTTTTGGCCAGGGCTGTATATGCAGTAATCTATAGCAGCCATTCAGAAGCCAGACTTTGTATGAGGCTACAGCAGGGACTAAGTGTCAGACTTTTCTAAATACTGCCAACTAATTTACAATTGCCAGTATTTACATGATTGTGTCATTCCATAGCCATCATCTCAGTCCAGTATATACTGACCCTAGAAGATGTCTGAACAAAGAAACCTCTGTCCTGAAAAGAAAAGGGAATGAAGGCATTGTCAGAGGAGTACTATGAACTCTATGAGGTATCAAATACCATTAAAGCAAAACTAATGGCACACTTATTTACCTTAGTTCTAATAGTCCAACACCCGCAAGGTTCCTCACCATTGCCAACATCTTCTCCCTGAGTTCTTCTTTACCCACAGCATTCGGATTAGTGGGAGAATAAGTAATCCCCAGCATTGGCTTCAGTAGCCATATTAATAACTAAAGATAGGGCTTAGTTTGATTCTTTTTCTTCAATATACTTCCCAGTTCCATTTTGCCTAAAACATAGCAAAACAAAGGTGGAAAGGGGCCACACTAGAAGCCTTATGCTCTGTGACATCTACTTTATAGAAGTAGTGCCCATCTAGCTTGGAATGCTAGGTAAATTTATCTTTTGGCTCCTTCTTTAATCAAGGGACCAGTGATTGTTTATCCTGTCTGTTCAGGACTTTTGGGAGTTTGATTGCTTCCCCTTGTCTCTGGATGAAGCTTCCAATGCTCACAGTGGGAGATTTAAATCAACAACATGAATAATTATCATGCTGCAGCCAATGCCTGGAGAGTAGCATCCAGATGGGGGACGGGGAGGTGATATAGTCTGAAGCACTGGAGAGCTGGGTTCCTTCTCTCCAGCAAGGTTCCAAAGGCCTGAAGGGCTGCTGCCCTCAGGCAGCCCATGGAGTGTCACTGTTCTAGTGGCCTCAGTGGTGTCAGGTTTAAGGCCCTGGGTGGATCCTCTTAGAAGCTTTGTGTAGGTCCATACCACAAGGGAGCTGGTCTGGAAAAGGACTGTCTTACTCACTTGACCATATCTAGCGCAAGCTAGAAGGTGGCAGCTATCCTGGGGACTTATGATTAAGGACTGCAGACTGATATATGTGACTATACAGTGTTCTGCAAATCTCACTGGCTACCAATAGTTGTGCTGTGATAAAAGGTAACCAGATGCCAAAGAGACTTGCTTCACGATCTGCATCTGTGAGGCCTTAGACAGTCCAATATTCACAATAACCTAAGAAGTAGATTGTCCTCTAATAGTTATTTGATGATCATTCTATGTTATCCCTTGCCCTAACCCCTCTCTTGTTTACAGTTCTTCAAGCAATACATTTCAAAAAGACATCCACTAGAATAGATTTATGAATGGGCATACCCCTGAGGACGCGCTGTCGCATGAAACACGTTGGATGGAGCCATCGTTGCTGACATCATGCCATTGTCTCCTGGACAAGGTGCGGTGGCCATTTTGTCCCTTTAGCTCCTGTGGTTGAGCAATCTTCCCCAGATTAAAGAGACACGCACCACCGGTACTGTGAGGATGCTGGATGAATAACTCTTAAGCTGTTCCTCTACTCCTGCACCCAGATGTGACAGATTGTAACCAATGCTTGTATACATCAAAGTCCTGGTGAGTGCACACCCATCAGAAGTGGTGGATTACCTTTAAAGATATATGCACAACTGCACTTTGGTCACAAGGATATATTGTGTCTTAATTGAAGAACTACTTCTGCTGAATTATCTTTATAACTGAAATCAGAATGATAATGGTACAGGGCTATTCACAACAGCCTTGTACCATGTGACAAGCTGTGATCAATCACAGCTCACACAGTATTTCTCAATGGCTGCAGGAATGCAGCCAGAGAGAAGGAGAAATGATTGCTTTTACAACCTTTATAGGTGTAAAAGCAATCAGTGTAAAAAAAAAAAAAATTGTCACCACCACCCCACAAGTAGTACAGTGTCACTATGGTGACACTGTACTGCTAGGGTGACAATATGTTAAAAAAAAACATAAATAATAATATAAAAAATAAAATATAAATGTAAAACATTTTTTTAAAATTATAATTTTGGTTATAAACTAATTTTGGTTATTTTTTTTTTACTAAAAAGATAACTGAATACATTTTAGCCAAGATATATGAAGAAAGATTATTTATTTGCAAAATTTTTATAAGAAAAACACTTTTTGGGACTTTCATTTATACATAGGTGAAACTCGAAAAATTAGAATATCGTGCAAAAGTTAATTTATTTCAGTAATGCAACTTAAAAGGTGAAACTAATAAATGAGATAGACTCATTACATGCAAAGCAAGATGCACTGACTCCTTGTGAAAGTCCCCAACACTTTTGAATGGCCTTTTCCTGACAATCCTCTCCAGGCTGTGGTCATCCCTGCTGCTTGTGCACCTTTTTCTTCCACACTTTTCCCTTCCACATACATTTCTATTAATGTGCTTTGATACAGCACTTTGGGAACTTCCAACTTCTTTTGCAATTACCTTTTTAGGCATTCCCTCATTATGGAGGGTGTCAATTATGGTTTTCTGCACAACTGTCAGGTCAGCAGTCTTTCCCATGATTGTGATTCCTACTGAACCAGACTGAGAGACCATTTAAAGACTCAGGAACCCTTTGCAGGTGTTATGGCTTAGTTAGCTGATTAGAGTGGGACACTTTGAGCCGAGAATATTGCACCTTTTCACAATATTCTAATTTTCTGAGATTGTGGCTTTGGGGTTTTCATGAGCTGTAAGCCATAATCATCACAATTATGACAAATCACGGCTTGAACTGTCTTGCTTTACATGTAATGAGTCTATCTCATATATTAGTTTCACCTTTTAAGTTGCATTACTGAAATAAATGAACTTTTGCACGATATTCTAATTTTTCGAGTTTCACCTCTAGCAAAAAAAATAAAAAAATCCCAGTGGTGAATAAATACCACCAAAATAAAGTTTTATTTGTCTCAAAAAATGCTAACAAATTCATATGGGTACAGCGTTGCATGACCGCACAATTGTCATTCAAAGTGTGACAGCACTGAAAGCTGAAAATTGGCCTGGACAGGAACGGGATAAAAGTGTCCGGACTTGAAGTGGTTAATGAAATTTAACAACAGGTGCACTAGATGGGCCTCAAAACAGGTATGGGGTTTTACAGGTGGAGGCCACTGACATTTTTTTTATGACTAACTGACATTTCTTACTGTTTTTCACTAGTTTTGCATTTGACTAGAGTCAGTGTCACTACTGGGAGCATGAGGCAATACCTGGACACTACAGAGGTTGCTCAGGCAGTCCAACTCCTCCAGGATGGCATAACAATATGTGCCAATGCCAGAAGGTTTGCTGTGCCTCCCAGCACAGTCCCAAGAGCATGGAGGTGATTCCAGGAGGCAGGCAGTTACTCTAGGAGAGCTGGACAGGGCCATAACCCATCAGCAGGACCAGTATCTGCTTCTTTTTTGCAAGGAGGAACAGGATGAGCACTACCAGAGCCCTACAAAATGACCTCTAGCAGGCCACTGGTGAGAATGTCTCTGAACAAACAATCAGAAACAGACTTCATGAGGGTGGCCTGACGGCCCGACATGCTCTAGTGGGCCCTGTGCTCACTCTCCAGCACCATAGAGCTTGATTGGCATTTGCCATTGAACACCAGAATTGCCAGGTCCACCACTGGTGCCCTGTGCTTTTCACAGATGAGAGCAAGTTCACCCTGAACACATGTGACAGACGTGAAAGGGTCTGGAGAAGCCATGGAGAACATTATACTGCCTATAACATCTTTCAGCATGACTGTTTTAGTGGTGGGTCAGTGATGGTCTGGGGAGGCATATCCATGGGGGGACGCACAGACATCTAGAGGCTAGACAATGGCACTCTGACTGCCACTAGGTATTTGGATGAAATCCTGGGACCCATTGTCAGACCCTACGCTGGTGCAGAGAGTCCCGGGTTCCTCCTGGTGCACGACCAAAATCTGGCCTCATGTGTAGACAGTATACAGACAGTTCTTGGAGGATGAAGGAATTGATACCATTGAATGACCCTCATGCTCACCTGACCTAAATCCAATAGAACACCTCTGGGATATCATGTTTCAGTCCATCCAACACCGTCAGGTTGCACCTCAGACTGTCCAGGAACTCAGGAATGCCCTGGTCCAGATCTGGGAGGAAATACCCCAGGACACCATCTGTCTTCTCATTAGGAGCATGCCCTGACGGTGTCAGGCATGCATACAAGCATGTGGGGGACATACGACTACTGAGTACCATTTTGAGTTGCTGCAATGACATTTCAGCAAAACAGACTAGCCTGCTGTATCATTTTTTCACTTTGATGTTTGGGGTGTCTTTGAATTCAGTCCTCTGAAGTTATTCAGTCCTCTGTAATAATTTTCATTTCCATCAAGCAATGGGGCTAACACATTACCCAGTCCATATTAGTATAGATATCCAGCATGAGATTTTTCCCCATTGAGATCTGATGTATTTTTAAAGTGTTCCTTTAATTTTTTTGAGCAGTGTAGATGTATAAAGTGAATGTGCTCAGTTCATAAACATCCAGGTATTTGCTGTGAAAAAAACTCCCACCATGTGATTGTGATCCCAGTGAATCCACTACCACAAATGATTAGCACTTACTGATTAAATTGATCCCAACACAGAGATTGCTTGTATGCAATTAATGTGTTACTAAACCCAGGACCCTGCATTCACTATATCTGGTCTCCCACAGTACACAGAACATGGAAATGCAATTATTTTAGTAAATATAAACTGCTAAATACCTTTTTTCATCAGAAGTTAGAGCAGTCTTGTGACTTCAGATGAGCACTGGTTAAAGCTTTTATGAGGAGTTTTCTTCCTGCTCTAGAAGGATGCATGACCCCTGACCTCTGTCTGGACAGTGCTGATTGGCCCCGTGCTGATCAAATGCACTCTCCCAAGAAAAGAAAAAAAAACCTCTCTAGCAATACACACTAAACTGAGCATGTGCAAAAGGGCTAAGGGTTTAGTCTGTCTTATCAGGAGATAAGACGTGAACATTTGAATAAGAGGAGGGGCAAAGAAGAGAGGATCAAACAGCCTTTTTACACAATGCAGATACTCACTGTGGAACCCCTTAGGTTCCACAGTGAGTATAAAAAGCATGCCTTATTGCATATACAGACTGATTTTACTGGTATGGGTTTAGTAACACTTTAAGCACCTCTGGCCATGTTATTAACAGTCTCCAGGTTCCTCACTGCCTGCCATGCTATTTCCAGTTATTTCCAGGGATATACTGATTTCGCACAGCTTCCACAGAGTCCCTCCAAAGAGAAGTCAAAGCAGCAGCAAAATAGTTTTATACTTTAAAAATTTGTTTATTTAAAAAAAATACATGTACTTAAAAAGCGAACAGGAACAAAAGCACACAGTGGATACAAATGCCGAAATCTCAGTCTCGGGTTACATGTGACGTTACAGGCTAGGCCCCGTCTGACATGTTTCGCCACCAATCAGCGTCTTCAGGGGTATGAAGCATCTGGATACCCCTGAAGACGGTGATTGGTGGCGAAACATATCGGTCGGGGCCTACCCAGGGACATCACAAGGAGATTTGACTGTACTTCTCCTGTGGATCACAGGAGTGCAGTTCGTTCTGCACTCCTGTGACCCATTTTCAGCCAACAGCAGACTAAGGTTCGCTGTTGCTAACATCACTCATATGGTCGGGATCCACCCAGGAGCCTGAACCAGCACCTGGTTCAGCCTCCCAGCAATCTGCTGAGAAGCCAGCTGCTCCTGCTACCTCCAGCACTCCAGTGAGTGTTGGGGGGGACAGAGAAGAGAGAGGTGACTGACAGTCACTGCTCTCTGCTCAGAGCAGCACAGAGAACCAAGGGATTAGCAGTGTCTGATTGCTAAGTTCTTACCCTTAGAGCCGGCAGGGGATAGACGCAGTATCAGATTGAAGCTGCATCCACCTAGGTAAGTATGTTTAAAAAAAATCTATCCATTATTATATATGTAGTCTAACTTTGGAGGCTCTCCACATTTATACAGTTAGGACTGCAAATATACTGGGGTGCCATGAAGTGGTCTCTGCAGCTTATGCATATATTTGCAAATGTGTGAAAACTAAACCCCTCGTTTTAATGTGAACAGTTAGCAGTGTAATTTGTTTTGTTGCAAGCTGGCTGGTAAGTGAACTGGGAATTTTTGTTTTTTGACATGCATCACCCTTTCCTGTGCTCCTTGTTGCGAAGGCCAGTTATAGGTTGGGGTGGTTGCCTTTTTTTTGTACTGTTGGTGAATAAGTGAGCTGATACACTGGACACTTTTGCTGCCATTGTGCTACTTCTGGGTTTCCAGCGAGTCCCTATATTTTTAAGGAGGGGTGGGCTCCCTCCAGGCATACCTGTCCACAATCTATCCATTATTATATATGTGCTCCAACTTTGGAGACTGTCAACATTTTTTAGAGTTAGGACTGCAGATAAACTGGAGTGTTGTGAAGTGGCCTCTGCAGCTCAATCATATATTTGCAAACGTGAACTGTTAGGCAGGGTAATTTGTTTTGTTGCAGGCAGGCTGGTAAGTGAGCTGGGAATTTATGCTTGTCGTTTTTTGTAGCGCTACATAAACTACATCCATCTTTTGACCATGCCCTTAATTGCTTGGCAGGCAGTGGACTATGCACCCCACATTTTTTCAACTGTTGGCAGCTGAAGCTGAAGTGACAGGAAGTAGGGACAATTTCCTCTCACAGACACAGAAAGGTATAAAAACATGAATTTATCCAAAACTAAGCCAACGAAAAAAAAAAAAAATGCTTGGAGTTTCACATGTGTATATAAGAAAAAAGTGGTCAATTAGAAATTTGTTTCTGTAAATAAACCAAGTAGCATTTGACACAAAAGCTATATTGAAACTGTGCTCATTGTAAACTGTGGACATCTGGAAAGCCATACAGAGCAGCAAGCTCCAAGGTTCACACTGAGCCAGTATACATCAATGTGAAGATCTAAAGGAAGAAAAACTGATAGAAGTACAAAAGAAAAACTGGATAGAGTATCAAAGACAATATGTGTGTTTAATGCCTACTATGGGTGGCACAGCTTCTATCCAGACACCTCACAGCACATGATATCATATTGTTTATTCACTTAATTAAGGACCTGCCAGGTAATAGAAAGATCCTTTTGAAGGCATAATACATAATATGTGCCATAAATAAACAACAATGGATAGATTTAAACAGAAACCATGATCAGTTTGGGTTATTTTGGTTGCTTTTTCAAGCTTGTATGTTTTATATGTGTTTTTTACCATATGTTTTTATAATTTAAGTTTAACAAATAGGAATTAAATAAATGGCAATGTACTCCCAGAGATTAAAGATTAGTCACTAAAGGTTACCTAAGAATACAATATGTTATGGAGAGCATAGCACACACCCATTAGCTTAAAAGTTCCTTTTGGATAACTTACTTCATGACGAAGGTAAAAGATCATAATACCTGCACCCAGTTTTGAAACTTTGACATGTATTAGTAAAACTGTAGTTATCATCACAACCACTTGTTACTAAATCCACAACAGTAAAATCTGTATTTGCAGTAAAGCATGCTTGTTATACTCACTGTGGGACCTAAGGGGTTAATCCTCTGCATTATGTAAAAAGGCTTTTGATCCTAACTTCTCTGCTCCTCCTCTTCTTCAAATGTCCACATCTTATCTCCTGATAAGACAGACTGAACCGTAGCCATTCTGCACATGCTCAGTTTAGTGTATATTGCTAGATAGGGTTTTTTTTTTTCTTGGGAGAGTGCATTTGATCAGTACAGGGCCAATCAGCACTGTTCAGAAAGAGGTCAGGGGTCTTGCATCCTCCTAAAGCAGAAAAAAAACTCCTATAAGCTTTAACCAGTGCTCATCTGAAGTCACAAGACTGCTCTAACTGCTGATGAGAAAAGGTATTTAGCAGTTTATATTTACTAAAATAATTGCATTCCATGTTCTGTGTACTGTGGGAAATCAGATATAGTCAATGCAGGGTCCTGGGTTTAGTAACACTTTAAAGTATCCAGATGAACTATACATTGTTGTTTTTTTTTTCAGGACAAATTGAGAAGTAAATATAGGACAAATGATAGTAAAAAAATATAAGTTTTTTGAACTATAGCTTTATATTTCTTGCCATTACAATGACCTACCACCAAAGAACAACCCAAAACACTCATCACTCCCAATGATTGCAGCAATATCACATAAGTGTATGTTATTTGCTTTTTTTACCCATAGTGCTGCTCAGAAACAACAACAAGCATTTTGCTTTTTTGAAAGCCTACCTCCAACCCATGAACTTTGATCGTTGACCCTGGCAATGCCTTTTTACCCTAACCCTGACCCTGACCCTGATTTAGGTCAAACCCTGATCTAGCTATGATATTATTATTATTCTTTTTTTTTTTTTACAAAACTTTTTTTTTGTTTTTAAATCTTCTTCTGTAGCAAGGAGAAATAGATACTGGGGTTGATTTACTAAAGGCAAATAGACTGCACTTTGCAAAGTGCAGTTGCACTTTGCAAGGGCAGTTGCTCCAGAGCTTAGTAAATAAAATAAAGCTTCACTTTACAAAGAATGTGAAACAGGAAGGTGCATCTAAGTGCAGTATTCCAGGTCAACTTTAATAAAAAGCGGTTAAATACAATTACAATGTGGTAGTAAAAACAGGCCCTAATGTAATTCGTCAGTAGCAGGGCTCTGTTCTCTAAGTGATGGAGCCACTGTGCCAGCCAGCAGCTGCAGGGGGAGCTTGAGGAGAGATGTTAAAGATGGCCGCCGCTCTGTTCGGACTGCTGGAGCATATGCTGGAACTCACGGGCGAACAGCCTGCCAAATGCCCTTGCCGTTTCTGTGTTCACTGAACACACGAATGGCCGATGTTTGAGTCAAACTGATGTTTGACCCGAACATTCAGCCCATCTCTATTTATTAAGTGGGCTGAAGCTGTGGTCACTTCAGTCACCCAATCATTTGCAAGAAAAAAATTAAAAAACAGATTGTTTTTATTTAAGTGGTTGGGTGACTGAAATTGACACTGCTTCTTCTTAAACATCGTGTTTAAGAATGTAATGTTATTATTATTATTATACATTATTTATAAAGCGCCAATATAGTTCGCTCAGCGCTGTACATTACAATGGGGGACAGAACAATAACAATACAATACAATGCAAAACATGAGGGGATCGAGGGCCCTGCTCTTTTGAGCTTACAATCTAGGAGGGAGGGAATGGTGGCACAGGAGGAGAAAGCTGTGGGGGATGGAGTGGTAGGAGGAGTGGAGGAGGTCAGCAAGTTAGCAGGGGGTGGGGTAGGCTTCCCTGAAGAGGTGGGTTTTCAGGGTGCGCCTAAAGGAGAGGAGAGTAGGTGATAATCTGATGGGTTGGGGCAGGGAGTTCCAGAGGATGGGTGACACCCTGGAGAAGTCCTGGAGGCGGGCATGGGAGGAGGAGACCAGGGAAATAGAGAGAAGGAGGTCTTGTGAGGAGCGGAGAGTGCATGTAGGGTGGTATTTGGATATTAGGTTGGTGATGTAGTTTGGGGCAGTATGGTGGACAGCTTTGTACGTCAGTGTTAGGATTTTGAATTTGATCCGTTGTGCAATCGGAAGCCAGTGGAGGGATTGGCAGAGGGGGGTGGCGTAAATGGAGCGGTTGGAAAGGTGAATAGGTCTGGCAGCCGTATTCAGGAATCGACTGAAGCGGGGATAGCCAGCTGCGAGGCAGGCCAATAAGGAGGGAGTTGCAGTAATCGAGTCGTGATATGATGAGGTGGACATTTGGTTGTCCCTTCCAGTGTGCACCACCCTGTAAATTTTAAATCGGTCACGGTTCTCCCCAGTTTATGCTGCCATCCAATGTTGGTGCCTCATGTTAAAGGTTTCCTTATAAATTAAAATAAAGAACAAACACGAAAGCTGCTGAAGTGTGTTTATTTTTAGTATATTTCTTTATCATGTAAAGGGTTACTTTTATACATTTGCGTTCCTTTGTAACTATATAAATAAAACATCTATATTTTCTATTGTTGGTATAAGATATTTTCTTAAGTATCTATCCTTCATGTTGTGGTCACAATGAGACAAAAACAAGTGAACAATCTTCCAAATAAATGACTAATAAATGCATATTGGCACCATA